ATTGTTGTTATTGTTGTTATTGTTGTTATTGTTGTTATTGTTGCTATTGTTGTTATTGTTGTTATTGTTGTTATTGTTGTTATTGTTGTTATTGTTGTTATTGTTGTTATTGTTGTTATTGTTGTTATTGTTGTTATTGTTGTTATTGTTGTTATTGTTGTTATTGTTGTTATTGTTGTTATTGTTGTTATTGTTGTTATTGTTGTTATTGTTGTTATTGTTGTTATTGTTGTTATTGTTGTTATTGTTGTTATTGTTGTTATTGTTGTTATTGTTGTTATTGTTGTTATTGTTGTTATTGTTGTTATTGTTGTTATTGTTGTTATTGTTGTTATTGTTGTTATTGTTGTTATTGTTGTTATTGTTGTTATTGTTGTTATTGTTGTTATTGTTGTTATTGTTGTTATTGTTGTTATTGTTGTTATTGTTGTTATTGTTGTTATTGTTGTTATTGTTGTTATTGTTGTTATTGTTGTTATTGTTGTTATTGTTGTTATTGTTGTCATTGTTGTCATTGTTGTCATTGTTGTTATTGTTGTTATTGTTGTCATTGTTGTTATTGTTGTTATTGTTGTTATTGTTGTCATTGTTGTCATTGTTGTTATTGTTGTTATTGTTGTTATTGTTGTTGTTATTGTTGTTATTGTTGTTATTGTTGTTGTTATTGTTGTTATTGTTGTTATTGTTTATTGTTGTTATTGTTGTTATTGTTGTTATTGTTGTTATTGTTGTTGTTATTGTTGTTATTGTTGTTATTGTTGTTATTGTTGTTATTGTTGTTGTTATTGTTGTTATTGTTGTTATTGTTGTTATTGTTGTTATTGTTGTTGTTATTGTTGTTATTGTTGTTATTGTTGTTATTGTTGTTGTTATTGTTGTTATTGTTGTTATTGTTGTTATTGTTGTTGTTATTGTTGTTATTGTTGTTATTGTTGTTATTGTTGTTGTTATTGTTGTTATTGTTGTTATTGTTGTTATTGTTGTTATTGTTGTTGTTATTGTTGTTATTGTTGTTATTGTTGTTATTGTTGTTGTTATTGTTGTTATTGTTGTTATTGTTGTTATTGTTGTTGTTATTGTTGTTATTGTTGTTATTGTTGTTATTGTTGTTGTTATTGTTGTTATTGTTGTTATTGTTGTTATTGTTGTTGTTATTGTTGTTATTGTTGTTATTGTTGTTATTGTTGTTGTTATTGTTGTTATTGTTGTTATTGTTGTTGTTATTGTTGTTATTGTTGTTATTGTTGTTATTGTTGTTATTGTTGTTATTGTTGTTATTGTTGTTATTGTTGTTGTTATTGTTGTTATTGTTGTTATTGTTGTTATTGTTGTTGTTATTGTTGTTATTGTTGTTATTGTTGTTATTGTTGTTATTGTTGTTATTGTTGTTATTGTTGTTATTGTTGTTATTGTTGTTATTGTTGTTATTGTTGTTATTGTTGTTATTGTTGTTATTGTTGTTATTGTTGTTATTGTTGTTATTGTTGTTATTGTTGTTATTGTTGTTATTGTTGTTATTGTTGTTATTGTTGTTATTGTTGTTATTGTTGTTATTGTTGTTATTGTTGTTATTGTTGTTATTGTTGTTATTGTTGTTATTGTTGTTATTGTTGTTATTGTTGTTATTGTTGTTATTGTTGTTATTGTTGTTATTGTTGTTATTGTTGTTATTGTTGTTATTGTTGTTATTGTTGTTATTGTTATTGTTGTTATTGTTGTTATTGTTGTTATTGTTGTTATTGTTGTTATTGTTGTTATTGTTGTTATTGTTGTTATTGTTGTTATTGTTGTTATTGTTGTTATTGTTGTTATTGTTGTTATTGTTGTTATTGTTGTTATTGTTGTTATTGTTGTTATTGTTGTTATTGTTGTTATTGTTGTTATTGTTGTTATTGTTGTTATTGTTGTTATTGTTGTTATTGTTGTTATTGTTGTTATTGTTGTTATTGTTGTTATTGTTGTTATTGTTGTTATTGTTGTTATTGTTGTTATTGTTGTTATTGTTGTTATTGTTGTTATTGTTGTTATTGTTGTTATTGTTGTTATTGTTGTTATTGTTGTTATTGTTGTTATTGTTGTTATTGTTGTTATTGTTGTTATTGTTGTTATTGTTGTTATTGTTGTTATTGTTGTTATTGTTGTTATTGTTGTTATTGTTGTTATTGTTGTTATTGTTGTTATTGTTGTTATTGTTGTTATTGTTGTTATTGTTGTTATTGTTGTTATTGTTGTTATTGTTGTTATTGTTGTTATTGTTGTTATTGTTGTTATTGTTGTTATTGTTGTTATTGTTGTTATTGTTGTTATTGTTGTTATTGTTGTTATTGTTGTTATTGTTGTTATTGTTGTTATTGTTGTTATTGTTGTTATTGTTGTTATTGTTGTTATTGTTGTTATTGTTGTTATTGTTGTTATTGTTGTTATTGTTGTTATTGTTGTTATTGTTGTTATTGTTGTTATTGTTGTTATTGTTGTTATTGTTGTTATTGTTGTTATTGTTGTTATTGTTGTTATTGTTGTTATTGTTGTTATTGTTGTTATTGTTGTTATTGTTGTTATTGTTGTTATTGTTGTTATTGTTGTTATTGTTGTTATTGTTGTTATTGTTGTTATTGTTGTTATTGTTGTTATTGTTGTTATTGTTGTTATTGTTGTTATTGTTGTTATTGTTGTTATTGTTGTTATTGTTGTTATTGTTGTTATTGTTGTTATTGTTGTTATTGTTGTTATTGTTGTTATTGTTGTTATTGTTGTTATTGTTGTTATTGTTGTTATTGTTGTTATTGTTGTTATTGTTGTTATTGTTGTTATTGTTGTTATTGTTGTTATTGTTGTTATTGTTGTTATTGTTGTTATTGTTGTTATTGTTGTTATTGTTGTTATTGTTGTTATTGTTGTTATTGTTGTTATTGTTGTTATTGTTGTTATTGTTGTTATTGTTGTTATTGTTGTTATTGTTGTTATTGTTGTTATTGTTGTTATTGTTGTTATTGTTGTTATTGTTGTTATTGTTCTTATTGTTGTTATTGTTGTTATTGTTGTTATTGTTGTTATTGTTGTTATTGTTGTTATTGTTATTATTGTTGTTATTGTTGTTATTGTTGTTATTGTTGTTATTGTTGTTATTGTTGTTATTGTTGTTATTGTTGTTATTGTTGTTATTGTTGTTATTGTTGTTATTGTTGTTATTGTTGTTATTATTGTTATTGTTGTTATTGTTGTTATTGTTGTTATTGTTGTTATTGTTGTTATTGTTGTTATTGTTGTTATTGTTGTTATTGTTGTTATTGTTGTCATTGTTGTCATTGTTGTTATTGTTGTTATTGTTGTCATTGTTGTTATTGTTGTTATTGTTGTTATTGTTGTTATTGTTGTTATTGTTGTTATTGTTGTTATTGTTGTTATTGTTGTTATTGTTGTTATTGTTGTTATTGTTGTTATTGTTGTTATTGTTGTTATTGTTGTTATTGTTGTTATTGTTGTTATTGTTGTTATTGTTGTTATTGTTATTATTGTTGTTATTGTTGTTATTGTTGATATTGTTGTTATTGTTGTTATTGTTGTTATTGTTGTTATTGTTGTTATTGTTGTTATTGTTGTTATTGTTGTTATTGTTGTTATTGTTGTTATTGTTGTTATTGTTGTTATTGTTGTTATTGTTGTTATTGTTGTTATTGTTGTTATTGTTGTTATTGTTGTTATTGTTGTTATTGTTGTTATTGTTGTTATTGTTGTTATTGTTGTTATTGTTGTTATTGTTGTTATTGTTGTTATTGTTGTTATTGTTGTTATTGTTGTTATTGTTGTTATTGTTGTTATTGTTGTTATTGTTGTTATTGTTGTTATTGTTGTTATTGTTGTTATTGTTGTTATTGTTGTTATTGTTGTTATTGTTGTTATTGTTGTTATTGTTGTTATTGTTGTTATTGTTGTTATTGTTGTTATTGTTGTTATTGTTGTTATTGTTGTTATTGTTGTTATTGTTGTTATTGTTGTTATTGTTGTTATTGTTGTTATTGTTGTTATTGTTGTTATTGTTGTTATTGTTGTTATTGTTGTTATTGTTGTTATTGTTGTTATTGTTGTTATTGTTGTTATTGTTGTTATTGTTGTTATTGTTGTTATTGTTGTTATTGTTGTTATTGTTGTTATTGTTGTTATTGTTGTTATTGTTGTTATTGTTGTTATTGTTGTTATTGTTGTTATTGTTGTTGTCAGTTTGTTTTTGTATTCGATAGTAAGTGCTTATGTTTATAATTTGATTTTGCTATTATTATGGAGATATGGCAAAAAATACACCGGTGGAGACTCGGTAACAAGCTATTTAAAGCTGCGATGAAAAAAGATAATTGTTGTAGCAAACCCAACAGCTGTAGTTAGGGTGAGGATAAAAAAATATATGTACAATAAGCCATTTAGAAAATTATTCGATTTAAAAATCCCTCACTTAATATGAACTGGCCTAATAACGGAAGAGGTGTAAAAAATAAAATCCAATATTATACGGTATTGGAAAAGTCAACGGAAGAACAACAATTATTGAGAAATAAAATCACTTAAGATACAAATAAATTTAAAGAGAAACCATTGGTTTTTTAAAATACTTTAATTTTCTGTGCATATAAGGAAAAGAGGGCAATTTATTTTTGGTAAAAACAAAATTGTCATAAATCATGTATTCGTAAATTTTTTGGTGAGTACTTATTACAAAAGATGCCGTATTAAAAAATGCTCTTTTAAAACGGGTATATTTCAATTTTCAAATGTGCCCTACACCAATCCTGTGCAAATGGCAGTGTTTTGATAATCTGTCAAGTAAACCTACGTGCAACTTCATTCAAAGGTGAAAAAATAGGATCTTAAGCTAATTATCAAAAATTCACAAAATAGACTTGTCCTTTTAATATTCTAAAACCATGATGTCATTGTTTTCATTTTTAATAAACATGAACGAAAATTGGATCAGCTCCTTACTCACACCCAAACATGCAAGTGCAGCTGTGAACATGAACTTCTAGATTATGATCAATATCAGCGAAATAACATTGAATTTTGGCGGAAGAGTGGGACTGGCCCACACCATAAAAAGATACCGGCCACCTCGTGGATTTCGAGTTCTGTCAGCGATGTACATTCTGAGAGCTTTCGTTTGTTTCGTAGCGTCGCAGCTCCAGCTTGTATTCGTCAGCGCTGGCAGAACGCCTAAGTTATTGGAGCATTCGGGCGCGTGCGGTACGAGGCAGTTTCAGTGGAAGCCCAATAGGCAGCCCAAAGTTATCGGGGGGCAGGTGCCACCCCCGGGTGCGGTACCGTGGCAAATCGACTTACGCGTGGGAGAGGATAAGCATTATTGTGGTGGTGCGTTGATTAGTAGTAGGTTGATTTTGTCGGCGGCGCATTGTTATAATGACGGGTTGGTTGCTGTTGCGGGTGCGCATGGATCGCCGGGTGAGTAGTAGTGTTGATTTATTTATACACACTATTTAATTTATTATATCTGTTTTCTCAAAAAATCTAAAAATGCAAGTCCAATAATGTAATATATAGGGTGTAACAAAAAAAAGTAAGTTAAGTAACCTAAGTTTATGAGAAGCTAACTTGCTTATACAAAAAATAAATAGTAAAAATGGGTTCCGCAAGCCTTTGTCCCCCTACTTTTTTTAGGCAATGAAATTCAATTAATAACAGGACGTCACTGAAATTCTACATCTGTTTCAATTTTTTTTGTCATTTAGTATTTTTTATGAAAGCCTTAATTACATAGTTATATGACCTGAAGGAAGTTTATGTAATGAAAAATACCATTCTATTGAATATTTGTTTACCATTTTTTTTTGTTTTTTTATATGTTCATGGATGATTGATAATACAAAGAAATAGTTGTAAATAAAGTTGTAAAATTGTAAACAAATATTCAGTGGTTTAGGATCAATAGAAAAATTGAAGAGGTTGAGTGGTGTGTACACACTGGGTAATAAGAAATGAATGTGACGTATTTAAAGTGTGTAGGTAGTTTAATATTAATAAAACTACCTACACACTTTAAATACGTCACATTCATTTCTTAGAAAAATTGTATTGTTAGTATTTTTCCCCTTCAGGGACATATTACTCGGTAATTAAGGCTTTCACAACAAATAGTAGAAGACAAAACAAATTTAAAAACAGATATAGAATTTCAGTGGCATCTTGTTTTTAACTGACTTTCATTGTCTAAAAATGTAGGGGAACACTTCTAAAAACCTATAGAATTAAAGTAATATTAAACGCCACTGAATCCATTTTATTGGTCACTATTGGGCACTATATATAGTAACATTCCATGTACATCTTCATAGAAATATGTAAATCTGTTTTAAAGTAAGAGCAAAAAAATCAGTTCTTAAATTTTTATAACACGCTGTAATTTGTTTACTACTCATTATTTATATAAACAAGTTATCTTAGATCGGCCAAATTTACTGTACATCATTTTGTTAAATCCTGTATATTATAATTTAAAATATATACTTATACGCATTAGAGCCTAATTGCTCAATATTTCTATTTGTGTTAGAGACACGCAAACAAGATTCAAATAACAGTTTTATGGATTTGAAAGAGGCATACGAATAAAAATGTTTATTTACTGTATTTAACCCTAGAATATTTTTGTTGCCTAACAATTTTTTTTTAATTAAGATAAATAAAATGATCATAATTTAAGTAGGCTTAACAATGATTTCAAAATTAATTGAATTTCTGGCTAACGAATAGGGATTATTTTTATTTATTTATTTATTTATACTGCAAAACAAACAGAATGCAATTCATTTGCATGTTATACAGTTGAGTAGCACAAAATTACTAAAACTAGAAATAAATTTAACAATGGTATACAATTAATAAAAAATATAATATGTGTAATATTAAGAGTTATATAAGTTATTAATAGTTATAAGTTATAATAGTTTTTGTTAAAATGTATGTTTATCGAATATTAATTTCAATTTGTTGAAAGACATATTAAAAAGGTCAATGTTACTGCTAATCAGGAACCAATCTAGTATTTGAAGAAAGTTATCAATAGGTGAGAATAAATTATTGTTGGAAAATAATGTGTATCTTTGCCTAACGCGAATATCTGGTACGCTGCAATTAAGGCTAGTAATTCGGGTAAATTAAAATTTCCATATATAATATTTGTTTTAAATGTTAATTGGGCTTTGTTTCTTCTGCTATTGTGTTTCAATATTAAAATCTATTAACTGGCTCTGGTAAGAGATACGTAAGTAGTCTCCATATTTTTTTATGTGTAGAGTTCTGACAAAACGCTTCTGCTCTTTTTCCAAGGTATCATTATAAAGGGTTGTTTTGGGTGACCAAATTATACAGTCACATTCTAGTTTAGATCGTACGAATGCATTATATAAAACTTTGCATGTTTCGGTAGAGAAATCATGGCAAGCCCTGAGAATAAATGCGAGTCTTCTATAGCAGTCTGTTGTTAATATGTTATATGTTTTTTAAAATTGAATTTGAAGAATAAACCACCCCTAAATCTTTGCTTTCGTTTGTTCTCTTTAATGAGGTATTGTAAATTTTGTAATCTTCCTGGTGTAATGTATTACAATTAGTTAAATTGAATGAGATATCGTTGATATGACAGTATTTGGATATTGCTGTGATATCTCTTTGCAGTAACTCAGCATCAGCTGTAGATGAGATTTGTCTAAACAGCTACAGATCATCTGCATATAATAGGAATTTAGAATGTTTAATATAATCACTTATATCATTGATAAAAATGACAAATAGTAGTGGTCTCAGTATCGACCCTTGTGGTACACCAGATTTTGCTATGAAGATTTTTGAATTACTGTCATTGAATCTAACAAAGGGTTGACGATTAGTTAGATACGACTTTATTAACCGAGTTAGATCGTTGCTGAATATGTTTTGTAATTTGTTTATCAGAACATGATGAATTTACTCTGTCAAATTCTTTTACTAGACCAGTATATATTGTATCGACCTGACCGTGTGTTATAGTGTTAGCGACGTAATCGTTAAATATACATAAATTTGAAATTATTGGCTTTTTATTGATAAAACCATGCTGCTCATCAATTAATATGGGTGACACATGTGAATAGATCCTATTATAAACTATTCTTTCAAAGACTTTAGATATAGAGTGATATGACGGAAGTTCTCTATTTGGTTCGTATTTCCCGATTTATGTATAGGTGTTATGCGACCAGTTTTAAATTTATCAAGAAAAATGTTTTTTTGCTCTGATAAAGAAAACATTTGTTTTGGAGGAATCGATAATATCTCTGCGTAAGCCTTGAGAAAATACGCAGGTATATTATCAATACCCATTTCAGCATTAGGCTTCAGTGATTTGATGGCATTCAAAATTTCTTCTGTGGTAATTTTCCCTAGCAATATATTTAAATTATAATTTTTGTATTTTACACAGATTCAAAAAAATTAGCAAACGCTTTTGAATATCTTCATTGTTTGAGAAGTGTTCTTCATTATATGAATACCTATTGCTATATACGACTTACAATTTGATCTTTTACTTTTAATACAGTTCCAAAAATTTTGGGGGTTATCTGTTAATTATTTCTCTATGTTATCTAAGTAGTTTTTGTGACATGCTATCATCAGAGTTTTGACTTGCTTTATTAATTCCTTAACCCTTTCAATACGACTTTTTTCTTTATTAGGTAAAAACTAATAGGTATTATTTGTATTATTAATAGGCAAAAATAAACGCAATTATAAATTTTCAGATTTTTTTATTCCTATTTTTTGAAAAAAAAAAAAAAATTAGGGATGACATTATCCCAGCAGTAATATAGCCTGGCATAAATACGTCCCAACAGTATTGAAGAAAGAAGGTAATATTCTGTACTTATATAATAATGAAACTTAAAAATTGTATATAAACACATATTTAGGTGTGATATGGAGTAAAGCACTCGATACAGAGTGGTACCAAACAACTTTGACACACAATTTTTGTTCTCTTATCAATTTTTTTTATTTGACATCGTACACATCTTCTTCTACCTCCCTTTTCAACAGGTAAGTGATCACTTATGTTGGCAAGAAATTTAAATTTAACTCTCTTTGAAGGCCTACCCTGTCTACGGGACCTTTTTTCTGGAATTTCTACTCTTCCCAAGCTTATTAGTTTCTCCGCCACATCTATAAGAAATTATATATAGGGAATCTTATATCTATTTACTTCTCCATAAATAATGTAAGCGTTATAAACAGCAGTCATTAAAAGTCTGAAAAAACTTTTTTCCGCCATTTTCCGCTTCTTATATCTTGTTCGTATAGCAAGATCATTTGATCTGCATGATCTACACCCCCCCATGTGAGCGTTGTAAAAAATTATTGCCTCAGGACCGCCAAATTCTTTGGTGGTTCCGTCTTTCATTTTTCTACGAATAATTCCCACCGTGTTGTCATGGCAATTACTCATAACCAACACGTCTTTAGTATCTTTCCATCGTATTGCAAGAATACCCTGTTGACAACCCGCCATTTCAGATTCACCTCTTTGTTCTAGTTTTCCCAAAAACTTCGGAGTGTTTTTTCTATTTTGCATATACGTTCCAAGAGCAGGAAATTTTTTATTATTTAGCAAATTTACTAAAGTAAAAAATCGATCAAAACATAAAACAACATTAGGCTTTTTTATTGTTTCCGAAAGCTTGTAAACAATTCGCTCACCTAGCGTTCGTTCAACTCTTTCCACTTCTTGTCCACTATAAATGCTTGTGTCATACACATATCCAGTGGTTGCATCTCATCTTGTCCAAAGTTTTATGCCTCGTTTCACAGGCTTCATAGGTAAATATTACTTCAGACTTGAGCGTCCCTTGAATTTTGCCATAGATTCATCTAATGATTGATACGAACTGTCAGTTCTAGCTTTTAGAAACTTTTCTCGCAAACAGTTAACAACCTCATCAATGTAGTAGGTTTTTGACGCATCCTGTGGTTTATCAGGATTGTTGAAGTAAAGTTTGGATGATATTAGCATAAAATGACCTCGCGATCCACATTTATTTCTTGACCAATACATATGTATTGAAGGGACACGATTGTATTCCATAACCAGACTACAGCCCAACACAATCATTACTTCCCCCGTGTTTGTAGGGTTTATTAGTTTGGACTTAGATTTTCTAAGAATTTCCAAACGTTGGTTGGTATGATAAGCAATTTGCATAATAAGACTCCTCAGAAATATTTTTTGAAAACACTCTATGGTACTTGAGCCTCTTGGTATATTAGCATCTATAACACACTCTTCTTCTGGTGGAATAGAATATTTTGGTTGGAAGTTTTCGGCGTTTACAGACCACAAATATTCTTCTTGTCTTTCAGCATCAGGTTGTCGATGATCGCCAATATTCTGGGTATCATTTTCGCCTTCCTGT